AAGAGGAGGAGGAAGAAGAAGAAGGTGGAGGAGGAGGAGGAGAAAGAAGAAGAGGAAGAAGAAGAAGAGGAAGAGGAAGGAGGAGAAGGAGGAGAAGAAGAAGAGGAAGAAGAGGAAGAGGAAGGAGGAGAAGGAGGAGAAGAAGGAGAAAAAGGAGAAGAAAGAAAAAAGAATTCAAGAGATGAGAAGAAAAGCCACTGAATGACACTGAGTGGTCACTGATGGAGGCAGGGCAACTCTGATAGAGGGGAGGTGGGAGCAGGTGGCTAGAAGATACGAGAATGGGAGCACAGCAACTTGACCCATTTTAAAAGTTTTTCTCAGAAAAGGGAATAGCTAGAACTGAAACTAAAAGATGGAGAACAGCAAGTAAAGGTGGGGATTTGTCCTTCCCCAGTAATGGTAAGACCTGATAGGTAACCCTAGGTCTTACTTTAAGTTAAACAAGCTACATTAAGAAGAATTTCAAGAAAAGAGACAGATCAAAGGTCATTAGGAAGATCAAGAGCACTTTGTTTTGATTTACGTTTTTGCCAGGTTTTTTTCATTAGTTGAGAAAGGAATACTATATTGATGTGAAAAGGAGGGAAGCTATGGCTGTTCATGCTTAGTGATTCTAATCCTTCCTGTTTTCCCAGAGTTTAGTTCTAAAAAGTCTTGTGTTATTTTTTACATGTCTGTGGCACTTTTTCCCTTTCCTTTGTGTGTGTGTGTGTGTGTGTGTGTGTGTGTGTGTATTTATTTACTTACTTATTTATGGGGGGAGATAATTAGGTTTATTTGTTCATTTTTAGAGGCAGTACTGGGCATTGAACCCAGGACCCTGCACATGTCAAGTACACACTCTACCACTTGGGCTATACCTTTCCCCCTTCCCCTGAGTTTAGATTTTGTTTTGTTTTCCTTATAGCTTGCTGATGCTCAGCTAGGCTGAGAGACCACAGATTAAGAATACATTTGCCTACTTTGATAATAAGCACAGCCATGAAGAATACAATCAAAATGCATACTCAATGCATATCTATTTGCTGATAGTCGAATAAAAGAGAATGAATAGTCTAAAGACAGTTTTATTTATATATAACAAACCAATACTCAATATTTACCTCAGAGGTTTGCTTATTTCTTTTGGTCAGAAAAACTTCTGCCACAAAAGTTGACTTATATCTAAGTGTTCAGGGTCAGCACTGTGTTTTCCTAGTCTTTAAAAACCTCAACAATTTGGACATAATTTCAAAACCAGAAACAGTTATCCAGAAGTTATTCTGCCCAATTCTTTTAATTTCTTAAATAATTTAATATGCAAGTCCATCAGCATTACCATTCTGAATATATTCAACATATGAAAGAAATCTTGCTACCACTTTCAGTTTGGTTTTCCCAAGTCCTCCCATCACAAATGTTTCCTCACTTCCTTTCTCCCTGCCCTGCTCCCTCTCCTTCTATTTCACTCACTTTATTCATGTAGCTATTTCATCAGGACGCCTCACCTCCAATCTTGCTTGAAGACCTCCATTACTGAATTTGTTACAGTCTGTTTTCTATTTTCGTTTCCATAGTATGCTTTTTTTTCTGATAATTTCAAACTAGTATTGTTTTCCTTTATAGCTAATAGTATATTTCATTATCTGAATTCTTATTTTATCCATATAAGTTTCACTTTATTTTAATACAGGGGTCTAGCTGTTTTATAATAAGTTCAAAATAGTTTTACCTACATTTCATTCAAAAGTTCCTTGAGAACACAGGCTGTCTCCTCACTTAAAAATGTCCCCAAAGCACAAAATGTATTGTTTTCCATTATAGGTGCTTTATCTAAGTCAACCTCAGGAATATCTTCACGTAAGTACCTAGCTAGTATTCCTAAGGCTCCTTTAAAGGTTCTAAATCTAAAAAAGGTTAATGTTCAGAAAAGATATTCCAAGAGTAACTTTAAAATTTCTCAATCCTCATATAATAGGTATAAACTTTTCACAATTAGGCAAATTTTACCCTTTTCATATGAATTGTCACGACACAACCGCAATAATGAACCAAATAAAATAGAAATACTTGTGAAAGATCCAGCAAGCTTTCTAAAGGTCTAAAAATCAGTTATCTTAGTTCTTTAAAACAGTTCCTTCAGATTCTTTCACTGAGTTCCTTGAAGTCCACTACTAAACATATAAATTTAGAAAGATTATATTTTATTTCTGAAAAATAAAGTATACTGAATTATACCTGAGATACCCTGTCAATTCTATCTCAGAATTCCTTCCCCATTTAAAGCCTCCTCTCCATACATAAGACAAGACCTAGGAGTTTGGTACAGACCTCAGCAATCCAACAATTATCTCCTAACTAGCTTCTCTACTCAGTTTCTTCCTACTCCAAAATTATCTTTCTAAAATAATAAAAAGCATCATAGCAATTTCACTTAAAAATACTTGGTAGGGATTGTCTTTATTATGTCGATAACTACTGAAATTGGATGACAGCCATATGAAGATTTATTGGGGTTTTTTTCCTACTTTTGTGTAGAAAACTTAAAAATTTCCATTGGTTCCTTGGTGCTTACAGAAGCATTTATCCATTATATCATAATTATCTGTTTAAATGGCTATATGCCTCTATAAGATAGCAAAATTAAGGGGTAGAAATTAACTCCCGTTTGTTCATCTTTAAATCAGCAGGTTCTAGAACAGTTCCTAAGAAAAAAGGAGATGATTCTTTTAAGTTGGTTGAAAGAATCAGGTAACTGTCATTTTATAAAATAGAAATATAACAAAATGGTTGAGAAATCTGAAATAACGTCAGTGTTTTGGTTATTCTGTTAAAATGGCCTGCTATGAGGATACTTTCCCATCCTTCTTGACTATGAACTGCAAAGGCAGGCACTGTGTTGACCTATGCATCTCCTAGAGCCTAAGAAGATGCTTCATAAAAGTGTACTGAACCAAGTTATAAATCTTGCATTTTATAAACAGAGCAAAGATCTCAACTGGCTGTTTATTTAGTCATAAAAGTATTTTGTTTTCCTGTCGACCATACTGCCGTTCTCATGATCTCTCTTTAAACTCATACTAGAAAGCCTGGCAAGGTATCAATTTTCCTATTTATTCTCTTTCTTACTAAAACGTCTACCTGCTTCTATAAAAGCTAATCCAGCAACCTATCTACATTATACAAATGGCAGCCTGTCCAACTGGTTAAAATAAGCTCTGGCTCTGGAGCCAGATTGTCTGGATTCAAATCCTGCCTCTGTCATTTACTTGCTGCATGATCCTGGGGAAATTATTCACCAATCATGGGATCCTGAGCAAGTTACCTGTTTGCTGGCATTGTTTGCTGTGTACTTTTACACTAGCCACCTGACATAGCTGAGCCTCAGTTTTCTCGTCTATAAAATGAAGATAATAATTCCTACCTCAGAGGGCTGTTGTGATGACAATTAAGGAAGGTATCTGAAGCACCTGGCACACAGTAAGTACACCTAAGTCAGCTGTCACTTCCGTAGCCATGACCCGCCTTTCCTCCTGCTAAGATGAATTTTCTGTGCTCCTAAATACAATTCCTCCATTAGTCAACAAGACCATCTCCTACTGCCTATTCATCTACTTCTCTTATAACCATGTCTCCTTCCTCTGGCATTATCAAATTTTCTCTCTACTAGATCATTTCCAACAGCATTCAAACATGCTGTATTAGCCATCTTAATTTCTGGAATAAGCTCTCACCCCACATCCACTTCTTAATATGTCCCTTACTCTTATCATCCTTTTTCAGCAGAACTACTCTGAAGAGCTATCCATCCCTGCTGGTTACTTTTCCTCTTACACACGGTCCAATCAGGCTTTCATTGCTACCTCTCCATTGAGAGGTTCTTGTCAGAGTCACCAGGGACATTCAAACTGCTGGACTCAGTGAAATTCTCAGGCTTTCTCTGACTTGACCTATCAGCACCTGATCGCTCCCTAGACTTAGTTCACTTGATTTCTGTCTTGGTTCTCCTCCTTCCTTATTGGTGGTGCTTTCTTAGACTCCACACAGTCTTGCCTACTCAGCTTTCCAAGAGCCAAACACTGGAGTGGTTGAGGGCTCAGCCCCTGGATGACTTCTCTATCTACATTCACTCCTTAAGTAATCTCAATATTACAGTAATATTAAGATATATAAACATATAGATTGTGATTAATAAAACAAATTAACATCAACTATGTAAATATAAAATTTTCAATAAGAAAAATAAATTTTTACCATCTTCCTAGTAATTCTCCCCAAGAATATAGGATCTTCTCAGGACAATCCTTAGACACATCACCTGTTCCACTTGAGAGTTCGTTGTCACTCTCTGCAGAAGAAACACAAAAACAACAAACATTATATTATATATAATAAACATATATATATATTAGTTACGTATTATTACATAAGAAACATGACTATGTGTCTAATAAAACAACCAAATAACACTTGTGCTTATATTATTACATCCATTGCAAAAATAACAATATAAACTTCATTAATATATTTTATCTTTAGTGCCTAGATAAATATTTTCAAAGCATCAAGTTTCTTGTCAACCATTTTTTTACACAGTATAAAACTGAAAATACCTATAAATAAGTATCTTTACCCAAAGGGAGCAAAATTAAAAATCTAATGGCAACACAATTAGAAATTCCTATATGGTGCACTACTCATCAAATAGACATAGTCAAATATTAATATTTTATTAATATTACAGTTATTAATATTTGGTGAGACAAAAAAGTACTAAAATCAAGAATCAGACATATATATCAATCTATGACACTGAGAAATATTTATATTATGATATAAACACAAAAAAACAGAAATCTACCTTTTTTTAAGTTTTTTTAAAGATATATTGGTAAGTACAAGATATTTTTGACTAAGGAAAGATCAAACTGACCTTTTAAAATGGCAACTCTGTAAAACATCCCAAAGTAATAGTTTTAGAAAGAATAAAATAGGTTGAGTTAGTTTATAATCGGCAGTGAAAATGAGTAATTCTAAGCCCTGTAAATCTTGTAAAGTGGTAACAGAGTTGATACAGAAAAGAAACGTAATAGGCACAATTTATCCACATTATAACAAAGCCTTTGACACAGTACTACATAGAAAAAGGCTGGAGAAGTATTGACTGGATGAATGATAAAATAAGCTAGATATGAATCTGTCTGGCTGATAGCAAGTACCAAGGTTTTATCAATGCTGTGACAGTATAATTGAGATTGGCATTAAGTGAATCCCACAGGGATCTGTGTTAAAACCAGTATTACTCAGCATGCTACAAATCCAATAATTCAAGCATAAACTAATTCATACTGGTGGATATATTCAACACCAAAAAAAGTGATAAATAAAGGTTTATTTAGCCAGGTTGAAAGATTTGGTCATATCCACCTGAAAAGACTTTATCACATGTTTAGTAAAACATAACCGAAATATAGGCACACACACAGACAAATGCTTCAGCATCTTTAGGACAATATGAAATAAACAAGAAATACGAAAGCCATTTTTTTCAAAAAGTGAACATCATCCTGCATACAGAGATGAAGGTTAAGAGGATATACACTAATATCACTGCTCTAGAAATACCTCACATAAGCAACTCTATGAACTCTGTAACAAGTTCATCATGAAAATAATAGAAAGGAAAAAATGTGCAGGGTACTGTATATATGTATTTACATGCAATATAATGTGTATGTGCAGTCGAACTGTAATAATTCTACCTAATAAAAGTGAAAAAGAAAAAAAATTATCAAAAAATAAAATAATAGGAGAAATTCTTTTTAAGCTACAGCAAATGAAATATGACTAAGCACTGGAGGACTAATGCAAAAAGAAACAACTAAAGTCTTCATATTAAAATATCCTAATGTAAACAATTATCCCTTATAATCCTTATAATTTCTCAATTAAATTGAGACACTTTTGAGAGTAACATGAAAATGAATAAAGGAAACCTCATTTAAAATGAAATCAGAAAGCCCTGAAAGAGGAGTTCTCAGCCACATATCACTCACTGCAGGCTACAGACCCCAGCAGGAAAAAAGATTTCCTCCTGATCCAGCAACAGCAAGCTGCCCAACACCGCCAGCAAATGAAAACCACCACAGCCCTCCCCAATTTCCTCCCTCCCTCTATAAAAGCAAAGCCTTCTCCTCTGTTCTCTGGACACACCTCTAGTTCACCATAGTTCACTTGTCTCAAATAGCAATTCTCTGCTATCCTCAAATAAACTCATTTTTCTGGTGAAATAGTTGGACTTTTTTTTTTTTAAGGTCAATAGGAAAAAAGGACACTACTAAAATTTACAGTTACACTGGAAAACAAGCTAATAGACTTACTCAGGCAAACAGGGACTACTGGTCACCCTTCTTATAAACTAGTACCAACTATGATATAAGTACTTAAAATACAAATTGATATTCAATTAAGCAGGGTCCAAGATGATGCCATATTATACTCTATTTTGCAACACAGTAAATAATAATATGCCAAGGTTCCAAATTATTTGATGAAGTTGTGCATGCTAAATTGGAGACCAAAAGCTAAGGAACACTATGAAAAGAAAAAAGAAAAAAGGAAACAAATATTGATGCACATCATTAGTCATGATTATAATAAAAGTCAGAAAGTACTATTAATACAGAGAATCTTTCAGATTATTAATTATTCTTATGGGGAAAGGATTCCCTAAGCATGAAAAAGAAACAAGATGCCACAAGAAAAGGTAAGAAATCTGACAACCCATGAATTAAAAACCTCTATGAAGTAAGGTACAAAATATATTTTTTAAAAAAACAAGCAAAACAACTATTTTCAACATATGACGAGGCTATTTTATCTAATATACTAAAGTCTTACTAATCAATAAAATAAAGAACAATCCAACAGAAAATTGAGCCAAGGATATGAACCCAGTACAGGCCACAATATATAAAAATATAACTAGCCAATAAAGATATTAAATAAAACCCTATCTTGTTAATAATTTTTCAATGTAAATTAAAACAATGAAACATATTCACCAATTTGACTATGCAGTATAAAGAACAATAATAAAGATTAATAACACCTAGGACTGATAAAATATGGGAAAACAGGCAAGAAGTTTGGGGTTTAGATAAGAGCAATCTTTTTAATTTATTAAGATTCTGAATTAACATATCATTTAACCCAGCAACTCCACTTCTAGAAATATATTATCCAGAAATACATATGCCAAAGAGATACACGTGAAAGGATTTTCATTGTATCACTGCTTGTAATAAGAAATTAAAAACTATCATCATTAAAAGTTTTATTAACTAAATATGGTATATCCATTCAAAAGAACACTATCCAGTAGCCTAAAAGAATTGGATAGATAATTATATGCTAATATGAAAACCATCCAAAATATATTGTTTTGTGATGAAAAGTAAGAAACAAGAGTAATGTACTATTTTATTTTAATGAATAATATTACTTATATGATTACAAAGACCTTTCAAAAACAGCTGTATGCATATACACAAATTATTAACAGCAATTATGTTCGGGCACCTAACAGTACCTTATCACATAGTAGGCACTCAATAAATATTCAGGGAATGCATCTTTCACTTGAAAGTTTTATATTTCTATAATTTTTTATCTCTTAAAATAATTGTGCATAACTAATAAGCATGGGGAAAGGATTTTTATCTTTCAAATAATCCGTTACTATAAAAAACAAAAATCTATTTTATTATTATAAACTTCTACTAATATGTCATAAAATCATCAGTGATAACAACGTCTTATCTTCCTGACAATCTTCCAAGTTATTTTCCACTACAAAAAGGAAATCAGAACTGTAAACAACTAGATTGGCAAAGGAGAGCCCCAAGGAGAAGGAAAGAAAATGAGCACACTGAAGTGGAACCAGTTCCCTGATGGACAATTAAGGCAGAAACGACAGCAAGTCAGGGGTCAAACGTCTGGATGAAAAATAGGACTTAGTCAAGGAAGATAGGAATCCCAGGCCTTTGCTGAATGTCTGCCTTTTTAACTTATATTCCAGGCACTATTATGGTTTTATAGGCATTAACTCACTTTATCCTCTAAACAACCTAATAAGGTAGTCACTACTAGTTTGCCCATTTTATTTTATTTTTTTAATATATATATATATATATTTTACTGAAATACAGGCAGTTTACAATGTGTCAATTTCTGGTGTACAGCACAGTGCTTCAGTCATACATGAATACACACAGATTCAATTCATTTTCATATTCTTTTTCATCATAAGTTCCACGATATTGAACATAGTTCCCTAGTTTGCCCATTTTAAAGACGAGAAAACTGTGGCACAGAGAAGTTATGAACATGAGTTTTTAAATTCTGGTAGACAGGCAGAAAGGGGGCTGAAGAATAGTAAAGTTTTTGTATACTAGATAAAACAGTTTCTAGGTAGGCTGAAAGAAATAAGACTGAAAAAAGACAGTGGAGACCAAAGTGCAGTAAAAAGTAGTGAGGAGGCTGACAAGTAAAATGTGACAAAGAAGAAAAGAAAAGAACAATGGAACCATGCAGATACATAAAAGGGTATCTGAAGGTTTTGAAAAAGCAACTGTATCCCATTTTACATAGAAAAAAGAGAGCGAGAGAATAAATGAAAAGAAAGCTGGGATTCCTATCCTCCTTGGCGAAGTCCTACTTTTCCATCAAAATTCTGGTTAAGCGTTACCCTCTCCTGGCTAGGCTAAGTGCGCCCCTCACCCCAGCACTTACCACACCACGTTACAACTGTCTGTTCTCTACATCTTCTCCCATCACACTCAGCTTCTTGGCAGTGAAAACTATTATTTCTATATTCCCAATGCTTACATTAGTACTTGGCCATAAGAGTGTTAAAAGTTTCCTAAATGAATAATCGGAAGAGGAGGGGGGGAGAAAATTCATTTCAACTAGGGGAAAAAAAAAACGTATGCCTTGAAAATTAGTGACCTTTAGATTACGGGCTTCTGTGTGTGGACATGGGTAAATGAGAACCAGGTCCGTTCAGTCATTTATAATGAATCCTGGAGCCAAACTGCCTGCATGTGAAACCCAGTCCCAACACTTACTACCTGTGACCCTCCCTGGTCAAGTTACTTAACCTCTCTGTGTTTCAGCTGCCTATTTCTAAAATGGGAATAATAGTATCCAAAAATAGAGTAGTTGTAGGAATTAAGCAAGTTACTCTATGCAAAACATATACTAGAGTGCCTGGCAAAAGGCAAGAGCTATATAAATGTTAGCTATTAAAACTATCTTCATTCAACAAATATGAAAGCCTAAGGTGTA